TAAATACCGTCAAACTATGCAATATATATACTTTATATACATATTCCATCTTTAATAACTGTAATATATATATATATATACACCGGGCTGCTAAATCCTAAGAACTGCTACAGGATTTGATTTGTAGATTTGATTTGTTTTTTTATTTGTATTTTTGAAAATTATGTAACTTATCTTTTTTTTTAGCATATTGTTTATTATATTATGACTTAGTACTTTTTTTAGCATTGTTTATTATATTTTAACGCATGTAAGATAATGCAACACTGTCTGTGGCTCTTTCCTGCTTCAACGCTGCAAATTTCCCCTCTGTGGGACTAATAAAGGTATTCTGATTCTGAGACGAATTTGTACAAAGGGGCACACAGCAATGTAGTGCCGACTTTCTTACACGCTGGAAGGCCAATCGCTTTTCTTTACCCCGAAATCCGCTCATTCTTGCTCTCGGTGTGACATGTCAAGCTGTCAAAACTCTGTACTCAAACCGGAAGTACTCAGCCGCACACCCAGCCGCCGGAAATTGATAGACGCCATCTTGTGCACAGAGCCTATGATTGGTGGAAGGGAGCGTCCAGTGTTCTGCAGAAGGAGGCCGCTCTGGTAGAGGCGCACCGGTTGGCTATGGAGAAACCAGACTTGGTGAAATTCTTACCTGGCTGGATTTTGAACTTCCTCTGGATGTGTGATTTCCAGCCTGCTGACTACAAACGTCTCGGTGTGTTCCGTCTGGAGTCAACCAGTGCTTCTGCCCCAGTTCCTGCTCCTGTCCAGGAGTCGTTTTCTGGAACTCGTCTGGCTTTTGGAGGTCCACGGAGCCTTCAGGCGGCTTCTAAGAGAAGGAGTCGCAAGTCCAGGCTAGCAGCCCGAGCCCCAAGATCCATGATTCCGGTACTGGGGCTGGAACCATGGTTGCTGGGGCCGGAACGGGGACCGGAATCATGGATCTTGGGGCCCAGAAGCAATGGTTCCGGCTCCAGAACCGGCCCATGCAGCCATGGTCCCTGCTACAGAACCGGCCCACACAGCCATGGTCCCAGCCCCAGTCCTGGCCCCAGCAGCCATGGTTCCGGCTTCAGTACCGGCCCCAGTAGCCATGGTCCCAACTCCAGTTTCGGCTCCAGGACTGGCTCTCCAGCCGACGCCAGCTCCCCGAGTCCTGTCGGCGTACCGGCCAACGCCAGTTCCCCGAGGCCTGTCGGCGTACTGGCCGACTCCAGCTCCTCGTCTCCTGTTGGCTCTCCAGCCGACGCCAGCTCCCCGTGTCCTGTCGGCGTACCGACCGACACAAGTCCCCTCTCAAGTCCCCTCTCAGGTCCCCTGTCGAGTCCCCTCTCAAGTCCCCTCTCAGGTCCCCTCTCGAGTCTCTTCTCGAGTCCCCTTTCAAGTCTCCTCTCAAGTTCCTACCCGAGTTCCCTCTCGAGTCACCTCCCGAGTTCCCTCTCGAGTCCCCTCTCGAGTCTCCTCTCGAGTTCCCTCTCAAGTCACCTCCCGAGTCTCCTTTCAAGTCTCCTCTCAAGTTCCTACCCGAGTTCCCTCTCGAGTCACCTCCCGAGTTCCCTCTCGAGTCACCTCCCGAGTTCCCTCTCGAGTCCCCTCTCGAGTCTCCTCTCGAGTCTCCTCTCGAGTCCCCTTTCAAGACACCTCTCAAGTCACCTCCCGAGTCACCTCCCGAGTCCCCTCTCAAGTCTCTTCTCCAGTCCCCTCTCAAGTCTCCTCTCGAGTTCCCTCTCAAGACACCTCTCAAGTCACCTCCCGAGTTCCCTCTCGAGTCACCTCTCGAGTTCCCTCTCGAGTCACCTCTCGAGTCTCCTCTCGAGTTCCCTCTCAAGTCACCTCCCGAGTCTCCTCTCGAGTTCCCTCTCAAGCCACCTCTCAGTTTCCCCCTCGAGTTCCCTCTCGAGTCCCCTCTCAAGTCACCTCTCGAGTTCCCTCTCAAGTTCCCTCTCGAGTCCCCTCTCGAGTTCCCTCTCAAGTCCCTACCCAATGTCCTGGTCCGTTGGAGGTTCCGCTGGGGGTCCTGCCAACTCTATGTCCTGTCCCGTTGGGGGTCCCGCCGACTACTCTTCTGCCGGGGGTCCTGCCAACCCTATGTCCTGTGCCGTTGGAGGCCCCGCCGTCTACTCTTCTGCCGGGGGTCCTGCCAACCCTATGTCCTGTGCCGTTGGAGGTTCCGCTGGGGGTCCTGCCAACCCTGTGTCCTGTCCCGTTGGGGGTCCCGCCGACTACTCTTCTGCCGGGGATCCTACCAACCCTATGTCCTGTGCCGTTGGAGGTCCCGCCGACTACTCTTCTGCCGGGGGTCCTTGCCAACCCTGTGTCCTGTCCCGTTGGGGGTCCCGCCGACGACTCTTCTGCCGGGGGTCCTGCCAACCCTATGTCCTGTTCCGTTGGAGGACCTGCTGAGAGTCCTGCCAATCCCATGTCTTGTTCCGTTGGAAGTCCCGCCGTTACCTGTCTCGCCGGGGGTCCTGCCAACTCCTGGTCCTCTTCCGTGGGGGATCCTGCCGAAGCCTGTCCCACCGGCTCTGGTTCCTGTCCGGCCAACACCGGGTCCTGCCCGGCCTCCGGAGCTGTCCCGTCAGCGCCTTCCTGCCCGGCCCCCTGAGAGCCGCAGTCTTCGCCCTCGAGCCCGGCCCCCTGAGTGCCGCGGTCTTCTCCCTCGAGCCCGGCCCCCTGAGTGCCGTGGTCTTCGCCCTCATGCTCGGCCCCCTGAGTTTGCCCGCTGTGGCCTTCGCCCCTCCATGGACTCTGCCTTGCCCCCGGGCCGTCCGCCCGAGACCCCCTCCATGGTCTTTGCCTTGCCCCCGGGTCGTCCGCCCGAGATCCCTTCTGGGTCCTCCGCTGTGCTCCTGGGTTGTCAGCCCAAACCCGTCCTCCTGACCCCCTCCACCCACCCTGGAGGCCCTAGTTTTGTGTCCCTCCTCCGGTCCCCCTCCACCCACCCTGGAGGCCCTAGTTTTGTGTGAAATTGAAATGAAACTAAAGAAAAACCCAACAGAACTACATGGTTATGTTTAGGTAGAAACTCCACTTGTTTAGTTTTAAGTAAATATTCCCGTTTAGTCTCAAACAAGTACTTGTTTAACTTGCGGACATACATTTAAAAATGTCAACATGTACTTCTAGTTCCACCCGGGACAGGGATATCAGACTCCTGAGTTAAAGATCTGTGTTTTTCTGACACAATACAATGTATGAATGAAAACATAATGTATGGGGGGTCTGGGATCGCTGATTTTAGAAGACTAAGGGTGCTGTAGCACCTATGTGTAGCACACATTAAGGAGTTAAAGCTAGATTATGTGAACAGATCTTTTTAGCCAATCCTCAGGAATGGCATAATTAAGATCCTTTAGGAAGAGTTTACAAAGAAATTGCTTTTAACACACTTTTCACTTTTTGTCTAGTCTATATTTAGGTTTGAGGTCTCAAGGTCCCACCTAAGAACTAATTCTGACTCCAGCGATGTTGTTATCAGAGAAGATAAATATACCTCCAATAGTTTAAGATTTTTACAAGCCATCAATGTGCAATGACATCACAACCTGAACAAGTGAAAACCAATCTAAGACATCTCCATTTGTAGGTACAAAGTCCCACATGGACTGGTGATTAAAGACGATGCCACTTTAGTTTTATTTCTAGCAGGGGTTTACTTTGATTCTTCAAGATGAGCTACAAGCCTGATTGTGATCTTCTTTGTTTGATGTTTCATTGTTCCTGCACTCTAATAGGATGAATCAAATGGCAGTTCATTAATCATTGCCATGCTCTTGGAACGCGAATGACTTTTGCTGATGTATTTCTGGCTGAGCTGACTGCAGGCTTTTGAACTCACTCAACCCAGAGGCCAGTGTTTTCGGCAGAAGGCCACAATACAACAGCTGCAAAAACACATAAGCTGCCACAACACTGGCTTCGGGCTGAGCTGGAGGAACAAGCACAGAAAGCTTGTCTCCGCATGATAACAATTGAGATATGAAGAATTGAAGATGTACAAATATCCTGGAGACAAAGGAATACGTAAACCAAAATTGTGTATTTACTGCTCAGTAGATTAATATTGCTCGGGATTTGTTTTTCTTAAGTCCCCTCTGGAGTTATTTTGTTGGCACACAAACATTATATTTACATTCAGTGTTAGTCAAAATTGATTGTATTGATATGATAAGACTTTTTTTTTTCGTTTCACAAATGACCAACGGTTGGAACTGTGGAGACACCATCGTAAGTCAAAATGACAGCAGCATTGGTTGAGTTTTTCTGTAGCCGTCCACGTCTGTTCACATTTTCTTTTCCATTAACGTGATTTTAAACAATGCCAGAACCCATACTGAGTTCCTGTTAGTGTTTCCTTCCTGTCTGTCTTCTGTTGATTCCTCTGACGTCCAGCGCTCTGTGTTTTAACCTCTTTCCTTCTCTTGCCCTTTTAATATTTTTTTTTCACTGGGTACAGCTCAGCCATCATGCAGTTTCGTGCTCTCAAAATATTCAAAAAGTATTCCAAGGTAAACCAATGTTTGTTGTCCGCAGCTAACGTTACATTTACCAGACCTCTTTCTCCGAATTGATATGTCTATACATACTCCTTTGATCCTCCTTTGCAACAGTCTGTTATCGAGTATTAACTTCTGAAATGTCCAAATTGACCAATCAGAATCGAGTATTTAACCAAGCCTTGTAATAACAGCTAATAAAACATTTGCAAAGCTGATTTTTTATGTATATCGAATGCAACATTGTTCATCTATGATGACGAGCTTGCCGTTTTCTTCTTCTCTTCCTTTGTTGGCGCACTGAGGCAGATATTATTATTATTATTTGACTATTATTGGTATTGTAAGGCGTAACAGCACTAGCAGCACTCTGCGCTGGGTCTAAAGGTCAAATGAACGTTCCTGACTTTAGCCCCCTTTGAATTTGACTTACTGGGAAAGTTTTATAATTTAGTTTTAAAAGTTCTCTAAGGGATCAGTTAGGACAAGTTGAAAGTAACTTACTGTCTGAACTTTCAGAGAGAGCGGCGTGTTCTCTCTGGCAGTGTGTGCTCAGGCCTGAGACATGAAGCATCCAGAGGATTCCAGTCCTTGTTGGCTGCAAGAGGAAGCAGCAGCGTTTCAGACCAGGAGATTTACTTGATGGAAACCTCCATCCTCTGATACAATCTGTACATCATTTATATATATATATTAGGGCCGGGACTCGATTAAAAAAATGAATCTAATTAATTAGAGGCTTTGTAATTAATTAATCGAAATTAATCGCATTTTTAATCACATATAAATATTTGACCTAAGAACAGTGAGAAGCAATTTTGTTCACATGGATTTTAGTATACCATTAGGCGCATTCACACCGCAGTACTTTCCCACAAAGGTTCATGAGAACTTAGTTCATGAGAACTCTTTGAACCTGGGGGTGGATTAGTCAAATTAAGCCGCTGACGTCACTTCTTCTTCTTCTGCTTTGGGTTTACTGGCAGGCCGCAAACCACTTCACGGCGTATACTGCCGCCCAAAGTCCCCGGCCGGAAGTCCCCGGAGTTGGGGACTGGCTTCAGTAGAAGCTGCTGGGAGTCCCAGCAGCCTTCCGAGTAAATCGCCAGAACGCCGACACCTCCTCATCTCCACCGCTCCCATGTTTTATTTTGTGTTGCCATAAGTTAGTCTCTCTGCGTTTCTGCGCTGGGCTAATGCTAATAATGCTAATGCGAGGATAATAAAATGGCGGCTTCACAACACTTTTTGGGAGTTTTACGGGGCGTGGTTTGCAATCCGCCCAGACAATCAGAAATATAGCTCTTTTCTCACAAGAGAGCCGTACGAAAGTCCCTGCTCTCTAGCAGCTCTCTGCTCTCTAGCAGGGACTTTCGTGGGGGTAAAAAGGTTCTCATGAACTAATTTTAGTACCGGCTCTTTTTGGTGTGAACGCGATAAAAGAGGCTAACGTCCACGCTAGCTGCTATATGTTTTGCATTGAGGTGATACTTGAGGCTTGATGTGCTGCGGTGATATGCGAATTCCTTTTTGCATAATTTGCACACAACCGTGCTCTTATCGACGCTTCCATCCGTCCGTTTTTTAAAACAACATTTCCCACTGTTGCTCACTGTGGTTTGTTGTTGTCTGAAGTCATGAACGTTAGTTGGTGCTCCAGTATAATCGGTACGCCTGAAACTCATCCAGTGAGAAACGTTCCGCGGTGCAAAAATAAGTGCGATTAAAATGCGTTAATTTTTTTAACGCGTTAATTGTTGTGTAATTAATTAATCTTAATTAACGCGTTAAAGTCCCGAACCTAATATATATATATATATATATATATATATATATATATATATATATATATACAGTGGGGCAAAAAAGTATTTAGTCAGCCACCAATTGTGCAAGTTCTCCCACTTAAAAAGATGAGAGGCCTGTAATTTTCATCCTAGGTATACCTCAACTATGAGAGACAGAATGAGAAAAAAAATCCAGAAAATCCCATTGTCTGATTTTTAAAGAATTTATTTGCAAATTATGGTGGAAAATAAGTATTTGGTCAATAACAAAAGTTCATCTCAATACTTTGTTATAATACCCTTTGTTGGCAATGACAGAGGTCAAACGATTTCTGTAAGTCTTCACAAGGTTTTCACACACTGCTGCTGGTATTTTGGCCCATTCCTCCATGCAGATCTCCTCTAGAGCAGTGATGTTTTGGGGCTGTCGCTGGGCAACACGGACTTTCAACTCCCTCCAAAGATTTTCTATGGGGTTGAGATCTGGAGACTGGCTAGGCCACTCCAGGACCTTGAAATGCTTCTTACGAAGCCACTCCTTCTTTGCCCGGGCGGTGTGTTTGGGATCATTGTCATGCTGAAAGACCCAGCCACGTTTCATCTTCAATGCCCTTGCTGATGGAAGGAGGTTGTCACTCAAAATCTCACGATACATGGCCCCATTAATTATTTCCTTTACACGGATCAGTCGTCCTGGTCCCTTTGCAGAAAAACAGCCCCAAAGCATGATGTTTCCACCCCCATGTTTCACAGTAGGTATGGTGTTCTTTGATGCAACTCAGCATTCTTTCTCCTCCAAACACGTCTAGTTGAGTTTTTACCAAAAAGTTCTATTTTGGTTTCATCTGACCATATGACATTCTCCCAATCCTCTTCTGGATCATGTAAATGCTCTCTAGCAAACTTCAGACGGGCCTGGACATGTACTGGCTTAAGCAGGGGGCACGTCTGGCACTGCAGGATTTGAGTCCCTGGCGGCGTAGTGTGTTACTGATGGTAGCCTTTGTTACTTTGGTCCCAGTTCTCTGCAGGTCATTGACTAGGTCCCCCCGTGTGGTTCTGGGATTTTTGCTCACCGTTCTTGTGATCATTTTGACCCCACGGGGTGAGATCTTGCGTGGAGCCCCAGATCAAGGGAGATTATCAGTGGTCTTGTATGTCTTTCATTTTCTAATAATTGCTCCCACAGTTGATTTCTTCACACCAAGCTGCTTACCTATTGCAGATTCAGTCTTCCCAGCCTGGTGCAGGTCTACAATTTTGTTTCTGGTGTCCTTTGACAGCTCTTTGGTCTTGGCCATAGTGGAGTTTGGAGTGTGACTGCTTGAGGTTGTGGACAGGTGTCTTTTATACTGATAACAAGTTCAAACAGGTGCCATTAACACAGTTAACGAGTGGAGGACAGAGGAGGCTCTTAAAGAAGAAGTTACAGGTCTGTGAGAGCCAGAAATCTTGTTTGTTTGTTTGACCAAATACTTATTTTACCGAGGAATTTACCAATTAATTCATTAAAAATCCTACAATGTGATTTCCTGGATTCTTTCCCCCATTCTGTCTCTCATAGTTGAAGTGTACCTAGGATGAAAATTACAGGCCTCTCTCATCTTTTTAAGTGGGAGAACTTGCACAATTGGTGGTTGACTAAATACTTTTTCGCCCCACTGTGTATATATATAAGAAACTCTCAACGTGGTTCCCAATGTGCCCACATGTTATCAAGTTATATAGATATATGTTATGTTAGATATATAATAATCTTATCGTATTTTTTGCTAATTTTCAAACATGTGAGAAAGTTAAATGTCCAAACTTTAACATTACCTTAACATCATGAAACTTGCCACATTTGCCCCATTTCTTACACATTGTAATTACTTGTGTTAGGGCTGGGGTTAGGGTGGCAATAAAGAAAATGATTCCCTTCACATTTTTATAAAAGTCACCATAATGCACCATTAGTTTTGGACTCTTTAAGGTTAGGCTGTGTTCATTTCATATAGGGGTTACGGTAATTACCAGTTTCTGATTTGTTTATAGTCTAAAAGCTCTGATACATATCTCTTGAAGCATAATGATACATAAAACTGACAAGCAACCAAACACAGATGCATCATGTAAGCTAAGAACACGGTCTCAAGGTAATGAAACCCACATTTAATTGCTATATTTACCTTTTTAACCTTTAACCAACTCTCATATGACATCAATATGCTTATGAATGAGGCTTGGGTTTCACTGCAGCAGCTGATTTTAGTAATCAGCTTCCAGGATTGATGAATAGATACTTAGTGAAACTGTGGTAGCAGACACATTTACATAAATCAGTGTTTTCAGGTTAAAAGACAATTAAGGTACTCACCAGTAAGCTCAGCTCTCCTCTCTGTTCCCTTCTCTCTTCATCATCTTTCTCTTTTTTAGTAAATTAAAAGCAGGGGAAATTCCACAGGTTTGTCTGGTACAGGGCCTCGAAGCTGTCATTTCACATTTACATAGTCCTGCAAAAACATGGAGACATTTGAGCATTTAAAGAAGTCTCCAGTCATATTAAGAACGGTCTTTGAAAATGTCAAAATCAGCAAAAGTCAAGCTGCAAATGCTTCACCTCCCTCGACATGGTCCATTCAAATTGCATGATACAAGATGGAGCCCGATAATAAAATATTCAACATACGCGGCCATGCAAGGACTTTTGCAAGCTGTCTTATGTATTTTTTATTGTTCTGCTATTTTAAAACATCAAAACTTGGTTTCATGATTTTGGAAAGTCCAGTCTCAAGTATATCAAATCTCAAAACAGTCATTTCACAATGAACACATATCAGCTGGAATGATCTGCTGTAAACAAACAACTCATTTGAAACAGACAGTGAGTCATAGAAGGAATAAATTGTCATTGTCAAAATATATAGAAAAATAAGAACAGACTGAGAATAGAGCACACAGACACTTAGACATAGACACGCTGCTTTAGGAACACACAGTCTGTTCTGAGTAAACCACTTTGAAGTCGCCCACTCGCTGCTGCCTACAAGAGTCAAAACAACCCGGTGTAGCTATCTGTCATTATCCCACCAGCATCTCACAGATGTGTACCTTATGTTGAGATGGTTTTGTTCACTGAAGAGAAATATAAATGTTTCCAGCTTTTTGTACGTGAATCATTGATCAGATCTACTGCGGCTGTCCGATCACTATCTTCCGAGAAGCAGACAAGTGGTCTTTGCTTTTCTCACATGTACAGTCATGTGGTTATACTTTATTTAACATTATTATGACTTATATTCAAAATAGTTCCACATAAATGATCTGCGAGGAGTTCATCAATTTAAACTACTCGAGGGAAGCTGTTTTAAATGTAAGAACCTCAGCTACAACCTTTCCCATAAAACAGCAGCCCCTGTACACCATTAATCAACTTCCTGTTCCATAGTGTGTTCAGTTCTGCTTCTCTAATGAACGATCCGGCTTCTGCAGGTCTAACTTTGCACATACATACTGTAAGACAAAGAAACCAAAGAAAAGACATACCTTAAGCACCTCAGAAGAAAGAGGTGAGTTTCTTGCCCAAACCGCTTATAGCTGAAAGAAAGCGTACAAGAAAAGATGTTAGCTGATGGGTGAGAACTGAAGGACTCAACCAGATAAAGTGTTTGCATTACTAATGATGTTTATTCTCAATGTGAAAGTGCTGTAGATTAAACGCATGAAAAGATTTGAGTTTGGTTGATGCGCAACTTGAAAGCTCTTTCATCAAATACTATTAGTACAGTTAAATTGTGATGTCATGAGGTGGTTTTGCCTTTTTATAGCGTTTTGTGTTTATTTTATTTGCTTATCTGTAGTTATTGTTTGTCTCTGTATTCATTTTAATTATTTTTGTTGTAGTTTTTGTCTATCTGTAGTTGTTTTGTGTCTCTTTCAAGTCCTATTTTTAACTCTGCAGTTAGTCATTCACAAGAAGAAAGAGGCTAGCAGCACCGAAGCTACAAGTGAAGCTGCTAGTACTACATCATCAGCAGTGGCGATTGTTTGGGATGACCTAATTAAAATAGCTAGTAGATAGTTAGATGTGTCGTTGTTGTCACATTTTTGTTTTGTTTTTCTGTAGCTGTCTTGTCTCTCTTGTTAGCCATTTAGCATCTCTTCGTTGTCCTTTTGTCCATCTCTATAGTTATTTTGCATCTCCTTGTAGTTATTTTATCCCTCTCTGTAGTTATTTTACGTCTGTGCCTCTCTGCAGTTATTTTGCATTTGTTTTGTAGTTGTTTGAATGACTTTCTAATAAGTAAATAGTCATCTGTGCCTGTGTCAGTAATCCATCCAATTCATATTATTTAGGGCATGTTAGGAAGTAAAGTATCTAGTTTGACAAGTGCCTTCCTCCAAACATTTGTAGGCTATTAACATGGTGATGATCAGCAGTTGATACCTTATTAACATGACTGATGTCTTCAATTATATCAGGGCCAAATCAGTTATTTAAAATGTGCTGTTTTTTGGTGATTTGTATGTCGTACCATCTCCCAGTTTGCCGGCCTGCTCAGCGGCGTTTCCAGGGAGGATCTTGGACAACATGCCGTCTCCCTCCATACCAGGCACTCCTGCTGCTGTACTGCCAATGCCTCCTGGCCTAGGAGCTGCCTTGGAGCCTGGACAGGAAGAAAACAGAGAGAGGAAGGGAGGACGACAGGAAAGTGGAAGGAGAAATTAGAAATGGAAGGGAAAGGAGAAGAGAGACGTTTCCAGAGGACAAGAGATGTCAGTTTTCTTTTTCTACGATGAAATCTGTGGTGTTAAGTGCTCTGTGTCTTGTCATTGCACTTTCCAAAGATCACTTCAAACAGAGTGGGCAGTAATATGATGTCTTAACCTTCACTAGTTGCTCCTGTGAGTCCACTGATACAGACTCTTGACTTGATGTGTCGCTAGACCTACATGGACTTCCTGTGCTATGCTGCCAGAGTGTGTGTATAGATGTGCTGTTGTCATTCATTACTTCTCTACTGTCCATGTAACTAACATACTACTTAATAACACATCTAGACAGAAGGACAGACTGACTGACCACACAGCGATATCAAAGCATTGATATTTGTCTTTGGTTCAAATGTTTTTTATAGAAGACTTTATGTGCTTTAGTGTGACATTTATCCAAATGAGTTTGTTTTTGGGTGAACCATTGCTTTAAGGATAGGGAAAGATTTATACAGATTTAGATTTATATTTTTTTTCTTGTTTTGTTTTTTTAAATAAATCAATTCAATAGCACCAGTTTATTTCCAATATTTAATAATCAGAAAAGGAAAACAGTCAGTCAAATAAATGTCAGAAACGTGATATAAACAAATAATGAAAAATAACACAATTTCCTAGACTGACGTACGTTGTCAAAATAACAGGGTTTTCAGGATATACCAAAAACATTTTGAAGAATAACTAATAGTTTTCTTTTATGTAGCATTATATTTATTATTATTATATATTTACTGTAAAGATATTTAAACAATTGTCTGAATTGTTGCCTATTATCTGTTAATCATGTCTGTTTGAGGGACATCAGATCTACGCATTTGATAAAAAACTGTTATCCAGAAATGTTCTAATAGATTTCACGACCTACTCAACTAATGGACTGAATTACATAATACCAAATTAATTAACTGACCAACTCTGACTAAACACAATGAGTGTGATCCGCTGCCATGAAGTGAAACCCCTCCTGTGTGATTTCCACCGTGGGATTATGTGCAGATAAATCTCAGATTAGATGAGACAGCACACAGCGGCTACATAATACAGACACAGTGGGCAGCAGCTGGCAAAACGTGTGAGTGGTGGGAGTCTCTGTGTGTGGTGATCATAACTGTACCTATGCCTGTGAGGGGGGGCAGGGCAGCTTTTGCGGCAATGACGGGCGCTGCCTTCGCTCCAATCGCTGTTACTGGAGGCGTGTCGATCTTGGCCTGGGGAGAGAGATGGAGATACCAAAAGATTAAAACAGCAGGAGTGGTGCTGGGGGGGAAGCACTAAACTTCATTTAGCAACAAAAGGATGTCCTTCTTGCACAGTGAAACTGTTGGTAATTGAAAACAGTGCGGAGGAAACAGTTGTTCACATCATTTTCACACAAATAGAGAGAAGGTTGAGGGAGGGGTGACAGAGAAAGCTGCTGCCCTATTGTTTGGTGTTGTGACATCTCACTGAATGACATGAATGATGAGTTTTAACACCGACGACACGGCCAACTGTCAACTGTTATCAGGCCCATTCAGAATATAATGATTGAAGAAAAGATAGTTCATCCCATTTGCTTTGTTTCATGGTCATGGGAATTCATATTTTTAATATGGAATAGCTTTTGGGAAATCTGTTATCAGGTCCTAAATATTTTATCATTGTAATTCAATGGGTGATATTTAAAATTAACAAATATTAAATATCACTATATGTACTCAAAGGGGGCCCTATTGTGCACAATCCCAGGATGATATTTGTATTTTGTTCCTTTACTGTGACATGTTTACACACTTTCATGTTCAAAAAGGTCTTTATTTTTCTCAACATTTCTCTGCCTGTGCACCTCTTTTCACCCTCTGTCTGAAATCAGAGTTCAGTCTGCTCTGTTTGGTTAGCATAGTGATGACACTATGTTACAGAAGTAAATGAAGGAGTCTAATCGGGGGGTTTCAGCAGGGGGACTTTGGGGATTTTTTTGAAATTCATATATATATATATATTCACATGATAGTAATGTTAGCACACTTTTCAGTCTAGAATCATCTGATGGATTTCCTGTCTATCAGAGTCGTAGTAAAGTAGTATTTCTATCCCTGACTTACAGTAGGATCATTTTGCAGGGGTATTGTTATACTGTTTTCAAGGATCAAGAATATCTTTATTATCTCAGAGGGGCAGTTTGCTGTACAGCAAGCAGTTAGCACACCACCATCAGACAAACAATACATACCATATAAAGATCACTTTGAGATATGTATAAGGCCAATGGCAGCAGGGACAAACTAGTTCCTGAGTGTATCTGAAGCCAAACGCAGGCAACTTGAACTCAGTGGCCTATGGGAGGCTGGGATCAGCCATGATTGATCAGGCTTTTTGAAAATTCTTAACCTAGCATGAATGACAAAGGTCATTCAAGGGGGTACCGGTTTTTGAGGACACTGTGCAATTTTAAACCGTCGGAGCCGAAGAGTCAGAATGTAAGAACTGATTCATTAATATATTCAGGAATTTCTATTTTGAAGGTAGTGTCAACATTAAAACATAGTGACAAAAAAAAAAAACATTTTTAGAGCAATGCCCTAAATGGCTCTTCTACAAAAATAATCTTAAAGCTTAAAGGTGGGGTAGGTAAGTTTGAGAAACCGGCTCGAGATACACTTTTTGTTATATTGCATGGAATGCTCTTAACATCCCGATAGCAATGAATATCTGAAGTGCTTTGACAAAAAATTCATAAAAAAATGTCATCTGTGGAAGCCTAGTACTGTACAAAGTACAACCAATCATTTTAGCCGGCCCGGCTTTTATAATTTTATGATCATAAATCTATCGATTAGATTTATGATTCGAAAATTATAAAAGTAGGGTAGACATGTGGATATTATCCGGCTGAACAAAACGTGATCCGTCTCTTCAATGTGTGTCAACCACAGACCTTATTTCGAGCTATTTTCCAAAATCCTATGGAGATATTGCATTGCTTTTTGTCGAAGGAACCGGAAGTGGTAAAATGCTAACTTACTTCTGGGTTTTAGGATGCGTCACTGTGGCACTCGAAAAGCTAGTAGGCTTGTCCTGAGTTATGTTTATTTGAATTACTATTCCAAAGATCAATAGTGAACCTTTACGCATAAGTGCTTGTACTATTTATTATTTATTGAGCTCTACAGGTTTTTTCAGTGAAGTTTGCATTGAAGCGATTAAAATTGCACTAACCAGAATGAATAAATGTAGTTGTTATGTAATTGATATGGTTGCCACTGTAGATGACCCACTTGTTCCTGCGTCATTGCTCCACCACTTGTTTTTATCTGAGTGGACTGTTTTGGACATTGTGATATCTGCTGAATCACTGTTGTGTTGCTGTGGCTCTTTCCAGCTCTTCTCTCGACATGTAGAAATACTAAATTACAGAGGCTACTGCTGCAACTCCAGGGAATTGCTTCAGGAAAGACGCAGAGCAGAGCACTTGCTACAATCTGAACACAGGAAATATAGCCCTGTTTTGATCTCGACCATTTTTATGATCTTAATTTGTGTCCTCTGTTTTCTGTTCATCTCTTTGTGTCACTTATTCTCATCCATAAATACACTTGACTTAAAAGACACTGGACTGATGCCACACATTTCTGTATTTGTTCCAGTTTAGCTATGGAAAGCATTATGATTCACTGTGCAGCATTTTCTTATTTACAGCCACTTAATCAATGATTTTAATTACACAATGGACCTAACATCGGGGTGTAAGTGTATGAGTTTCCAGACTGAATAATAAACAAATGACAGAAAAAAATCACATTTGCTCCAGATGGAATATATTCGGAAGAGAAATATTAAACTATGTGAATCTTTGTGTTACATGTCAGAATGAGGTTTTCAGACTGAAATAGCAAAGAGATGTGCATGGATTTATGATTATAGAGTAAATGGAGGGTGCAATAGATTTTACCAGGGAGACATTTTGAGTGCTAATTTCTTGAGCGTCTAGCAGACAGTGAATCAGCTACATTCAGTTATCAGCTGCCTGGGTGTTCATCGTAGTGTTAGATAAAGCCTGCCAACAGAGACACAGCAGAATTGAAATAAACAATCTGAACTGTGCGGAGATAGAGCAGCTCTCATCTCTGGGAGAGTGTAGGGACACAGATGAGGGCGAAAACAGCGGAAACTAGCTAGCATCAGGGTGTTAAAATGTTAAGAGCAGGATGGATAGAGGCGTAAACTAATAATATTGACTGAAGCTATAGTGTTATTATTAGTGTTCCCTTTATATCAATATGGTACAATAAAACATGGAAATAAAAGCTGCAAGTCTTTTTTACATTTTTGAACTCTCTGTACCCACCATGTTTGCCGGCGTGGTTCCTGCGGGTCCGGTCTGCCTGGCCTGCCCCATGGGTCCACCAGCTGGTCCCATCTGTCCCGGCTTGGCCTGGCCCGGCCCCATGCCCATGCCCATGCCTTGTCCCTGGGCTGGGGGCTGCTGCTGAGGGCCCATGGTCGATGCAGCGCTGGGCTGCCCTGGCCTTGTCGCTGATGTCTGGGCTTGTTGTTGGAGCTGGGTCCTTTGTCCTGGAGCTCCGTCTGTCTGCAAACCTGGACCCCCCTGGCGCCCTGATCCCGTAGGGCCCCCAGAGGAGCCCTGACCCCGAGAGCTGCTGCCAGACCTGGAGGAGCCTGGACAGAGGAAGGGACGGTGGATTATTTTTCTTCTTTTACAGCCTGATGGAATGATGGACTGCTCAAAGTAAACATGTGCCCTAAAAGGTTCTAATTTGACCAGTTCCTAGATAGAAAAACATTGTCTGATATGCTCCATCAGTGAGGTGGAACTTGGTAAAACAGCATTTAACTTATGGAAAGATTTATTGTTATTATCATGGCGTTTCAGGGTTTATTATTATTATTATTATTATTATCAATTGACAGGTGAGATGAATGAGGGAATGACGTGCAACAATAGTTGTGAGCAAAGATCAAACCAGCAATTTAATGAGTGCATTGCTTAGAACAGAGCCAGAGTGCTGCCCTGGGAGAAAACATTTCCTTTGAAAAGTTACGCTTCATATAGTTAATTAAAAACTGTTGATCCCTTAGGGGACAGTTGGTTGTAAAAAAGCATCAAACTCATTCCTAACAACATGGGGTATTAAATATGTCTGCCTCAGACCAAAAATAGTAAATCTAAAGGGATCACATTCAAGCATCACAGCGTATTATTGCCACAATAATTATTTGAGGGCATGCTTTAGTTCAGGAAACTTAGTTTACAGTAGGTCTGTAGGATGCATTAATTCAATGTGATTATTGGTCTTATTTTGCAGGGTGTCTTGGCAATGCATGCAGCCGTTATTAAGATAGCTCACTAATCTATAAAACAGATCGTGAATGAAAAACGTCTTTCTCTCTCTCTCCCTGCAGTGCCCCATTCCTCCGGAAAGACAAATATTTCTGATGAAATCACACAGTCTGACTTTGATTATTATTCTTTATTCTCTGATAACTGCAAGCTTTGTACCTGTCACTATTATTATTCTGGTCGGTCAATCTTGTTAACGAATCAATATGAGCTATTAAGCCAAGTAAAAGGGTCTGTGTTGTCTGCTGAAAAATAATAATGTAAACAAGCAAAGCTACATTATTCTCTTTCTCTATTCTTTTTGTCCTTTTCCCCTATCCTAGTAAATGGTTAGCCTTGTGTGTGTTTGTGTAGCATGTCCTCTTTCTAGGTCTCCAAGGTGGAAAGAAGATGTCCTTTGTTTAGAACTATCAATCAGTTTTTTATTCTTTTTGTCTATTTTTGTAAATCAAAAACGATATTCTGTTCACACAACATCGATTGCCAGTCCTTCCGTCCTTGGAGAGGGATCTCTCTTCTGCTGCTCTTCCTTTTTTTGCAGGGTAGAAATTCTAAAGCACCTTGTGGCACATTTAACATTTCTTATATTGAACTGTATGAATTTAAATTGATCTGACTAGACTTACATTTTGATAAAAAATAAGCCTGTTACTCAATAAGACACATAGTTTGTTTTAAATGGGGACATTTGGCACCACTGCTCAATCTGGACAGTGGCCAGAATCTAAATGAGTACTGTTCTAGGCATAAATGAGCAAATCACTTTTTAATGGTGCTTCTTTTCACTACTTATTCAATGTATACAAAAAGCTTTAATTACCTTGTAATGTAGACTAAAATAATGTGAAATTATTGATGATAAGTTAAAGAGTTACAAAGTTAGTAAGCAATCTTATCATTCAATCAATGCATTTGCCATATAATCAAGCAAGCAATTAGTTAGCTAGCATGTTTTTTCATTGTATTACATGTGTAAAGGTGCCCCGTATTTACCTGGTTGGCCCTGCATGTCCCCTGGCGGCTGGGATTTGCTGCGTGAGGAACGGTGCGGGTCCCCCTGTCTTGAGGAGCGTTGTCCGTGGTGGGGCCCAGCTGGGTCTCGGGAGTAGTCCGAAGAATGGTACCCTCCTGACCTTGACTCTCCACGCCGTCCTGTAGATGACGATCGTACTGAAGGGTCTTGGCGCATTGACGGGTCTTTTGGGTGCCCTTTAGATGACCTTGAGGCCCTCGGCTCATCTGGTTGACGTGACCCGGATGAGTGTCGGCTAGAGCTGCCATGTTGGCGATGGTCACGGGACGTAGAGTGTCGACCTCCGTGGCCATACTCATCTTGGGGCCACAGGTCCTCCTCAGGAGGCTCGTCGTAATCATGGTAGGTGTGTTTGACACCGTGCCGGGTCCTCCCAGTTGAGTGGCTGCTGCCGTAGTGTCGAGAGCTGGCGCGGGGCTTCTCAAACCAGTCAGTTTCTTCTTGTCCCAGATGGTAGGCTTTGGAAACCGAGAGCAGATCACAGTCAATCTCCATGTCGTTTGGTGACAGCGGCATGCAGGCTTAGAGATGGAAGGAGGCAGGAAGAAGAAGACCAACCGCATGCAAAAGAAAAGAATAGGAGGAAGAAGACACAGAAAGAAAGACAGAAAATAAAAATAAAAGTTTACATACATGCAGTATACAGTACACTTCACGGACCGTAACACATTACAAGACAATATGAACAGGATAAAACAACACTGCAAAACTGTCTGGTTTTGGGGGCTGTTTTTCTGCTTGAAAATTAAGCTTTAAATCTAAAGCCAATGACAGGGGAAATTATTTTATGCAGCAAAAACATACTTTAAAGTTTAAACAATTGGCTTTCCAATTTATGATGGTGTGAGTACAGCATAATTGTTGCAGTAAAACAATAAATATGTCTCTCTTTAAAAGATAAGGTTTAAATAAAGAATAGATTTGTAGGGACCGTTTTGCAGTGTAGACAAATAATTAATAAATCAAAGACATGTAAACAAAACATCAAAGACATAATTTAAAATAAAACCCTGTAAAGCAAAAATACAATGCATCCGTGTCGTGCAAAGAAGACTTTCAAGTGAATCAGAGTGTACCGAACGAAGGAAACGACCACGCCGAAGAACCATGCGAGTATTGGACAGACAGACGACTGGACGAACAGGCGGAAGGACGGACAGGCAGGCAGACAGACAGACAGCAGTCCACTGATAAGAGAGCTCCAAGTGACTCTCAGAAGAAGAAAATACCAGCATGCAACAGCTATCTCTGTCTCTTTTTTATCTTTCTCTTTTTCATTGCTAAGCCTAGCTTCTGGGTGGGTGGGGGACGTTCAGATAAACGGTGGGGGCAGTAGTAGGTAGTGAGACTGTGGGCATTGAGCTCCCACAATTACCTTCGCTGTCTGACACAGCGCAATGATAATCGTCTATAATGTACGTATCATCCGATTTGTAGACATGCGTCCGAGGGAGGTCCCGTATGTGGTCTTGTACATCTGGCAGCGAGTGGCTCGAACCATACTGGCCGTCATAGTACTGATCTCTACTGCTCCGACTGTCGTACGGGTCGGGACCTAAGCTCGATGATCGCCCAGAACGCATGAACCTCCCAAGGGGACTGAGTGGGCTCTCCTCTTCAGTGATCTGCCGGGTTGGGTGGCGCCCCCGGCTGTAACCAGATTGGTAGGAGCGGTCGTCCCTCTCATAGGATCGGCTGCGATACCCGGAGTAGTCTCTGGCTGAGATCTTGTCCATGCCATAGCCGGTGGAACGGGAGCGGCCTGTGGAGGTGTAGTAAATCCTATCATCCTCCTCTGTCAAACCATAGTGTCGACTACCATGAGAGGCTCCACTGAGGCTGTCTTGAGCATTCCTCTTGAATCCGTAATCCTCAATCAGCTGGCGCCCTCGAATGTGAGAGGAGGGGTAAGCCTCACCTGTTGCTGAGGAATAGGAGGCCAGGTCTGCCTCCACATCCCGAACCTCTTCAATTGGGGAGAACTTGGAGATCTTTTGCTCTATATTCCCCAGTTTCCTGTGCTTGCTGCGCTTGGTAGACATGACAGCAGGAGCCAGAAGGGTTCTGGAGGATGGTGAAGGTTTCTGTACCCCGGAGCGGATGCCGCCATTTTTGTAGTCGAAGTCATAGTAATAGGAGGATCCCCCACCCATGCTAGCGCTCACGCTGCTGCTGCTGCCCCCTAGAGGTCCGTGCCTGTAGCTGCTCTTACCCCTGCCGTGTTGGTCGTACAGCTCTTCCTGCATCGCCGCTTCCTCTTCGGGTGTCCTGCCGTACGAGGAGCTGCCACGCGTCGTGCTGCCAATGGTGCTGCTGTGGCCGTGGATGTCGCCTGGATAACGCCCACTGCCGCCATGATGCATCATGTCCCCTGTCGTCGTGCCCAGCCCGTCTTTTGCCGTCAGCTCGCTTACGTCGTCAATCATCATGTAGTTCCTTGGGACATTCTGCTCTAAGCCAGGAGCTCCATATATTCCATCAGCATGATTGTACGTGGAAGGACTATCTACAGGGTGCCCATAGGCATTGGAAACCGTAGAGGTGTACTGTCCGTAAGAGCTTGCTGTGGTGGTGGTGTAGCCATAAGTATTAGCATTGGTTGTGGTGTACTGGCCATACGAATTAGCTGAGGTTGAAGTATACTGGCCATAAGTGCTGGATGGCATTGATTGGTACCCACCATAGCTGCTGGACACTGGTGCTGAGCCATAGGGCCCATAGGAGCTGGCCATGGTTGTGGAGCCAGTGTACTGACCATAAGAGGGGGATGAACTGGAATAGATAGCTTCCTGAGCCATGGTGGTGACCACGACTGTGGGGTTGCTGATTGTCTCATAGTTGGTTGGCATCTTGTGCTCCAGATCGGCCAGCGAAGTCTGCCTTGGTCTTCCCGGGTGTACTGTCAAAATATCAACTTGGGGCTGCCCAGGGTATGGGGTGGTTTGGCTGGGGTAGGAGGACACAGCGCTGGGATAGGGTGAGCTGTGGGTGGGGTATGGGGGCTGACCAGGCGGTGCAGGCCCAAAACCAGTATGCCCGGGCTGGGGTTGAGGCTGAGGTGCAGCTGGTAACCCCATGTCTGTCTGGGGGTATGGGGGCTGAGTTGGGGGATAAGTGTGGGAAGGGTAGGAAGGTTGAGACTGGTAAGAAGGTCCTGGAGGGGGGACATGGCTCTGAAGGGGTGTTGGCTGTGGCAGTGCCTGGGACTGAGACACTGTTGGGTAGGGAGGCTGATTGAATGTTGTGGGCTGGTACGGCACACTTGATTGTTGAATTGGTGGTGCGGGTTGGCTCTGGGGGTACTGACAGGAGAGGAAGGATGAGGTGGGTGGGTACTGGGCTGCTGTGTTCAGGTCACTGGTGAACTGACTCATAGGAGCAGTGCTAGGCCTCACTGCCAGAAGCCCATTGGTCTCATGTGATGCAGCTGCAGCTGCTAAACGTAGGTTATTCAACTCACTGTCAGACATGTAGTCCCTAGTGTCGCCCATACATCTCAGGTAGGCAATATCCCTCCTCTCCCTCTCCTTTACTAGAGTCTCTTTCCTTTGGTGGATCCCCAGCTCGAGGTATCTCAATTTAGCATCAATTTCTTTCTCTTCCTCTTCCAGTTCAGCTTGCTGCTTTCTCAGCTTTGTCGACTCTTGCTCCACAGCCTTCAGCTCGTGGGTGAGGTCTTTGAGGAGGCTCGCTTTGGCAGCCAGGCCAGACCTGGTGGCGGGCTTGTGGCTGGGCACGGAGGGCAAGTAGACCTGTTGGAGGGCAGGTGCCATCATGGGCAGATGAGCTGATGTTGTTGTCTCTTCCGGAGGAGGGCTGGGCAAGGTTCGCTTGACCTTACGGAGCAGTGAGCTCTGCTGTAGGGCAGCCAGCTGGAGAGAGAGAGAGAGAGAGAGAGAGAGAGAGAGGGGGGGGGGGGGGGGGGGGGGGAGAGATGGAGGATATGGGGAGACAAAGAAGTACAGAAAGAAAGGGATCGGAGAGGTAAAACAGAAGAACAGGTGAATGTGGGGAAATGGTCGATGGGATGGGAGAAGGACAGGGGAGGGTATGAGACAAAATAGGAAGATGAACAAGGAAGGACACAGGATTCAAGAGAGATAAGAATAAAGAGAGAAATGGTGGTAGAGTGGAATGGGGAAGAGGCAGAGAGAAGCGTAAAGAGGAAAAGTGAATAGAGAGGAAAGGTAAAGAAGGATGTAGGGAACAGGAAGAAGAAGAGGGAGGAAAACTCAAAAAGAAAACGAGGTCAAGGAACAGAAACAAGGAGAGGATGCAAGCAAAGGGATATACAAGGAAGACAAAGGAGACACGAATAGACAAAGAGACAAGGACAGCAGGAAACAAGAGTGGAGTTCGTATTAGAGGACTTACAAAAACATTAAGTTTAGTGTCAATTGTGGTGCAGAATTCCAATAATTAATCGACTTCTCTATTGCACTTAAATCCTATCGCAGGCTTTTGCTAGGTTGTTGCTTCTAACTATGTGATTCAACAAAGTTAACATGTCAAACAAAACTATCTGCTCTAGAATTCAAAATGTTGCATAATAAGGTATAAGGATGCAAGGGAATGCTCTGTTCATCACAGACCTTCTCTAAGATGGTCTGACTTATTATTATTATTATTATGAGGTATTGGAATGTGTAGAAAGATTAAGCTAAACAAAGTTTGGAAATGAATCACCTTAAAATTGTCAGGGAATACATCTTCTTTCAGTTATGAATTCAGAGCTTGGCAGCATGCATTTATGGCAACATATATAGTACATTTTATTGATTCATTATGGACCTAAACCTGGATTGGATGTCAACAACACCTTGTTGAATCCATTGCTTGTTTAATTAATGCTGTTCTGAACACAAGTTGGGGTTCTTCCACTTAGACAGGTACACAATAAAGAAGCTATTTGTTTCTTGCTATCTGTTTACAGTTTTTCTCGATTGCTAACACACTAAAATTCTACATAAAGCACAATTATTTTAACTGACACTCAAAGAGCAAAACATCGGCTCAAATCTCCAAAACTCTAAACACGTTTTCAGCTTTTCACACAATTTTCAAATCAACATGGATCTTTCTGCAAACCACTGCACACGTTTCTCCACGTGAGACACAGGAATCTGACATAAAGTCACGTGTGAGCAGGTTTAAAACACTGATATTCAAAATGCCTCACACATGGACCAATGATCAAGAAACACGTTCCACCTGACCAAACACCTGATAGCATAATTGTTGGCTCATCAATCAGGATGTTAGCACAATAAAAAGACCACAGGTGAGTACTTTCTTACAGCAACAATGGAAGCCAACATGGAAGCAAGAGGAAGAGGAAGAGCAAGAGCAAGAGAAGAGGAGGAAGAGTACTCTCTAATGAAATGAAATGTTATCACCTCTGTTGTGTGAAACGTATTTACTTCATTACTGTAATTGAATTGTTGGCCGTTGCATACTATCCTGCACAATGTACTGTGGTAAACTCACTTTTATGCAACACATAAAAGTGTTGTTTATCTGAAGGACTGAGAACAAAGAGGTGGAAGGCTAAGGATGTTCAATGAGGCACAGGAAGCAGCAGTTACAAACTGGGTTTGGCAAACAATGCATCACACTTAGAGAGATCCAAAGCATAGTAGCTATGTGCTGAGATGCATGTTGCAAAATATTATATTTGAATACAATGTGATTTTTTTCAACAACTCATTTGTATTTCTTCCTTTACTGTATTTCTGTAAACTCAAGCAATCTTTCTCTGCAGAAACCTCTATGTACAGAGCACAGCCCATAACAGATGAGAGTGCTTTAGAGTATGCTCAGCAGTGTGTAGTTGGGTGGTCAAACAATCTAGTTTTATGAATGAAGTGTGTTGTATTTGGTGCAAAAGTTTGCATTTGGAAAGTGTTTATGTAGTTTTGAGTGCAGTTCTTCATTTAACAGGAGAAATTAGGTGTTTTGCACTTTGGGTGTGTGGTTTTGTGAATTGTGTTTAGTGTTCTGAGAAACAGAGCAATTTAAAAAAAAATGTTTACCTTGACAGTGTGTTAGCAATCGAGAAAAACTGTAATTAGCTTTCTTGTCCAAATGATGGTTAGCGTCTGAAGGCCTCATACTTCAAACTTTAAATCTTAGGACCATGATTAGACCCTTTGGACCCCAAAGACAAGAGTTGCATTGTATTTCATCTTAGCTGTATATCTTGACTGCAAAACTGAATATAGATCTAAACTGCCAAGTACATGTATCTTGATCAGATGAGTCAATGTATCAATGCGTGACATGAATACAGAGTATACAAAAAGTGCAGACTCGTCCCAAAACAGTTTCTTTTGGGATTGATTTGACAAAGCAACGTGGAAGTGGATTACTCCTTAATGAAGAAGTGGTTTGAAACCTTACATCCCTATACTTGAACATAAACTACTACAGATAACAAGATACCTCATTTAACATTAAATTAAGTTTGTTTGTGTGGCAAGTCTTTTTTTCACCAGAGGATTCTTTAATAAAGGCCAGTGACTTTGCGTCTGTTTTTATAAGAAACAAATGGCGATTACCAGAAAAGTTGGACTATTGATCTGTCTAGCTGCTAACATATCATCTTCACTAATTGGCTATCTTATCTAAATTGTGCCCATTCCGGACTCAGCATGGTATGATTGACTTTACCTGGCTCTGGAGTACTTGCTGCTGGTAGAGGGACAGCCTTGCCTTGGTGTGATCATCTGCGGTGGGGCTGAGGGACTTGGGGTCTGACATGGACCTCTGGGTGCTCTTGATGGGTCTGGGCACAGAGGGGTGTCTCTGTGGGGACTCAGCTGTGTATGACTTCTGCTGAGGTGTGACGTGGGCCTTGTTCAGCCTATCGCTGGACAGAGAATTCTCCAGCAGGCGGTGAGGGGACACCGGGGAGACAGGAGAGTACAGGACTTGAGGGGATTTGGGAGCCGTCTGCTGCTGCCGGATGATGCTGGAGATAGACTCGTTGTGGATGTGGTTGTGAGGCTGGTAGTTGATGTCGAGTGGATCTGGGCGACGTCGCTCAAACTTGGCTGCGTTTGCTGTGATGTGTTGCTGCTGCCGCTGCTGGCTCAGGAGGTCCACAGAGCCAGATTGTTGAGTTCCAGTACTGGTAGAGGAAGAATATGGACTGACTGTGGTTGGTACACTGAGCTGAGGGGCTACAACACCCTGTGACTGGGCTTCCGGGTCAGTCTGACATGCTAGAGACTGTCCTTTGTTGGTCCGCTCAGGTCCTGAGATGTAATGCACAATCTCTACCTTATTCGGGTCTGGTACTGTCACATGGATTGCTGGGGAGACTCTTCCTAGGTGCTCCACTTCAGTCTGGCAAGACATTTCCCTGATGGTCTGGATGGCGATACTGGAAGAAACAATCTTGTGAGAGTCTGTCTTGGTGTCAGTGGCTGCGGTGGAAGTGCTGCTGCCAGTGGCATTGGACTCAGCGTGCCGGGAGAAACGGGAACGTCTTCGGCGAACTGGGTGTTCCGTCTCCTTGTCCTCGTCATCGTCTGTCTGGACGGAGCAGTCAACGCTGCGACCACGCCTTCTGGTGCGATGGCGCATCATGTACCTGGTATTGGAGAGAAGAGAAGAAGATAAAAAATAATATGAACCATAATGGAATCGACTCACAGGACTCAACTGGACGGAACTAAAAAACACTTTCAACTTGACAGCAATTACTCATAATTGTCTACATATGCCTTTTGACTGGAAAATATTCGATATATATAAATATATATACATATATTAGGGATGTTATGTATCACCGATTCGCATCGGTGCACCGGCATAAACGTTCAAAATGCGAATGCACCGGTTGAAAGAGTTGGCTACAGTTTGGGTTGAACTCGCGATGCATCTATTGTAGCGTCTTTGCATTGGTAAAAAAACGATTAATTCATATAGTATCCTCTCATCCTGTCAGCACTCAGCAGAAATGATCTTTGATCTTTGCTTCGCACTAAGGCGGCCGAGAGTCTCAGTTATCAACACACATGGAAGTCGTGGAGAAAGAGAAACACAGCACACCGAAAAATAGCTACAAATCAAACGTTTGGCAACACTTCAGATTTTCAAGAAAGACAGACAACTTGACAAATCACAAGCAAATTGTAAACGATGCCGTGCCGCTTTAAAGTACACAAGTAGTACGAGGAACTTAGCCACGCACATAAAGAGGCGACATGGGGTCTGCGGCTGAAAAGAGAAACCTGAAAGTTAGACGTATGAGTTAAGTCACTCAGTGAGGGGTTCTGTCAGAGAGAGAGGTGTTTAGTTTACAGCAGCCTGTGACTGCCAATAATAGTTTAAATGTCTTCCTTACTGTAAGCAGTTATGAAATACCTGTTTGTGAAAGTTTATTTGTTATTGTTCATATAGAAACCACTGCTTTCTGCTCACTGGTGAGTTGAATGAGTGTTAAGCACATCAGGCTGGCAGGTGTATGGGCATTGCTCTATGGTAGCTGTTATTTGCACATTTGTAATCCTGGGCAATGCATCCTTAAATTGTTTAACTGTGAGGTGTTCTAAAATTGTACTGTACTCTGGAGAGAGAGAACACTATTACAAAGGACAAAAGGTCCAAGTGGTTTGTGAAAGGTAAAAAAGAAACAGCATGATGGGATGTGCAGTACTAGTAGAGAGAACCAAATATGTGAAGTATTTTTGGCTAATTCATGATTTGCTGCATATAAGGAATACAACTAAATCCTCTGTCGTACCATATTGAATTGTATCATTATTTTGCATTGTGTTGAATCAAATCGTATCGCATCGCCCAGTGCTTCAAATGTATTGCTAATGTATCGTATCGTTGGCAACGTATCGAGATGCGCATCGCATCGGCCTCAGTGATGGAGATGCACATCAGACAATATATATATATATATATATATATATCTTGTCTACATTTGTTTGTATTCATCATAAAGGCTGCATAAGCTTGTCTCTTGTTTTATTAAAAACAAATGGTAACTGAGTAGGAAGGCCATCAAGGTAATCCTTGCCCAATATACAAACACACCTCTCCTCTCCATCTTCATCGTCTGTCTGCACACAGCTGTCCACATTCCTGCGGGGGGAGCCGTAAAACACCACGCCCTCTCCGTCCAAGCTGTCTCTACTCAGCCTGGTCATGGAGCTGTGTTTCCTCATGTTGCTCCTGGTCTCCATGGGCTCCTGCTGGCTCCTCAGACACATATCGGACGAGGAGTTGGGGAGAGAACGGTAGCCCGCCTGAGAGTCGGTGAAGGAGGGCAAAGGCTGTTCATTCACATCCAACTGAAGATAGAAACAATTATTTTAAGGTTGATAATGGTCAACCATCATTGATTCAACTGAGAATGACGAGCACTAGAGCACACATTGAGATCACTTATACGTATGCACCAGAGCTTAGGCCTGCAACATCAATCTTTAATTCAATCATACAAGCATGTCACATCCTTTTCAAGCCAGCTGTCAATGCGCCTCACCTGCATGCTCTGAGCTAAAGCTGTTTTCTGCCTCTTCTGCTCTACAAGCTGTTGCTGGAGCTGATGCTGTAAAGACTGGATCTGGTCTAGCTGGGACTTCTGCTGGGCCAGCTGCTCCCTCTGGAGAACCAGTTGTTTCTCGCGTTCCTGTTGCTGTTGCTGTAGAACCTAATAATAATGTTGGTGGAAGGGGGAACAAGAAGAAGCACGCATCGACAAACGACAAAACATGAAAAAGATGGAGAAGCGTAGCAGAGGACGGTGACAGTGAACATGTTGGGACGAGATGAAATGATCAAACAAGACAAATGAATGGTGAAACATAGGAACAGAAAAAGAGAGTAGGACAAAAGAGGATAAAGTTGTTGAGTTATTGGCACAACTGGTTGTTAAACAGATGATCAAAGACTCCTGACACTGAATGTGACATTCTTGTGCTGATGGATTAGTATTGAAAAATGTTTCCACGTTAGTCAAACCTCTATATATTGCAAAAAACAAGAATGGAAGCGCAACATAAATGAAGTGCAGCATGTACTAATGCTGTTGCCAGTCACATAATGCTCATAAGAAAATATATAATTTTCTTTGTTGCAAAAATGGCAAGCTAATGCAAAGAAGGAGCTAGGAGTTTTTCTAATATTGCTGGGTATGAGATGAATATTAAACATTCCATCTTTAGTTCATTCTCATTAAGGAAGGCTTCCACACCTGTTTAACTGAGTTTACTTGAAAGACTTTCAACTGCTTGTTCTATCAAAAAAGGAGAAAATGGTCATGTTAGCCTTTCTGTTGCTAAGAAAAGTGACATACTTAAATGGGTACTTGCTGGTTATCAGATAAATACAATTTAATGGAATCAACTTTTCTTTTCTTTCAGTCTAAAAAATTAAATATCAAAACACTTTCTTTTTTTTCCATGAATATCAATCAAACCAACACATGAAACATGACACCAACATCTGAGCATTATCAGTTCATATCACACATACTACAGGCATGTGCATGCACACCTTATAACCAGGATATATCCAACTACATGTCATGCAGACTATAGCAACAACTTTAACCAAACCTTTGTAAGGGTTTTGGTTGCAAACATTTCTCTGAACATAAAAGCCATCAATAAATCCAATCCCATTTTCTCTTACAATAACAGAATTTTAACGCAATTTTTTTTGAGGACTTAATAAACATGTGTGCTGTACGTATACAGTATATATAATTAGTGTTATACAATACATACATTTAGCAAATTATGTATTGTAGTTTTCAACTCAGTTTACTGCTTGCACATCTAAGGTGTGATATTAAAAAAGAAAAACATTTAAATTGTAATAACACAATAAGACACACCACCAAAACAACTTAAAACAAAACAATATCAATGGCAAAACCAACAACCACAAAACAAAAAACAGGACACCAACTATCAAACTCTCCATTCCGCCTCCTGTTTCTTCCTCTACCTGGTCCTTGATGTTCTGCAGTTCGTTTAACTCTCTCTGCACCAGCATCTGCTCCTTCTCCCTGTGCAGCTTCAGCTCCATCTTTTCTCGGTCCAGCTCGTCCTGCAGGCGCAATTGTCGTAATTTCTCCAGCTCAACGCGCTCCCTCTCCATCTGCAGAAGCTGCTCCTGCTGCCGATGCAGCCTCTCTGCCTCGGATTCACCCTCCTTATGTACGGCACCTGGTGGAGGGAAGGAAGGAAGACCCCCTGCAATGGGTAAGCCACCAGTGGGGGCAGAGGGGCCCGCTGGAGGTTGGCTGTAGCCGTGACTGTGTGAAGGAGCAGAGGGTGGGTAGGCATAGGCTGCTGGAGGATGCTGTTGAGCAGTTGCCACTTGTTGCTGTTGTTGTTGTTGTTGTTGTTGACTGTTCAGGTGGGCCTGGGACAGGTTTATAGGCTGCTGCTGTGGCTCTATTGGTATGACAACTCCTTGTACTGAGGTGACCTCTGTTGATGAGGGTGCACCTCTACCGAGGTAAACTGGTTCATCCTGGACTGTAGAGCTTGTAGTTGTCAAAGAAATATACACTGGGGCACCTACTGGTGCAACACCAGCAGTAGTGGCAGCGATTGACGTTGTTTGGAGAAGACCTGGAGCTGGGTAACGGACTGGAGCTTGTCCGGTTAAGGGTACTCTGGGGCTCATTGGTAGTCTGCTGAGACTGGATAGGGGCACAGGTGTCATGTTAGCAGAGGGGTATGCCCTGTAGACCCCCCTCAGTATTGGGTGAAGAACAGAGGCAGGCTGAGTTGTAATGGGAAGTGTAGAAGCAATGGGGGTCTGAATGGTGGAGTAAATCATCCCATCAGAGGACCTTATAGCAGTAGGGTACATAGCCCTGAGACTAGCCTGCCTGGCATTGATAAGGTTGGTTAGTGCTTGACTGTGGGAAATTGGCTTCCCGTCTGTTCCAAAAAGAAGGTTTGGCCTGATGCCAAGACTTGCTGCGAGCCTAGCAGCCCCAGGCCCAGTTCCTCTCCCCAAACTACCAAACTGCATCAAGTCTGGGTTGCTTCCATATCGATCTATGGTATTGAGTGCTGCACACATACGGCTGATCTCCCTGGCAGTTGTAGCACTGTACTGAGCCAAGTTCGCTTCTTGGAAGCCAGCAATGTCACGAGCAGAGTAGCCATAGTCTGAACTGATATTAGACAAGGAATTATATCTCCTTATAGGCAGTGCTTGGGCTGTGATGTCTCCTCCATGCCGTAAATCTGTATAGGAGCCATATTGCAACCCTATGAACCCTCCATAACCTTGTTTCATAGCAGTTAGATCCATAGCAAGTTCTGCTGAAGTTTGGATGTGTGGTTCTAGTTTGGAGTGGTAGGACTGTAGCCCAGCTTCAGCAAGGTTTGTATCAGACATCGAAGGCTGGAGCCTTCCGGGGAATGGTAATGTGTAGGCCTTACGTTCATCCATTGGATAATCAAGGTACCCTCCGGATTGTCTTTCTTGATCAGACTCATAGGTAAGAGGTGGGGCAGATGGAGGCCTTATGCCCTCTGTCTCGCCACCAACACAGCTTCCACCAAATGGAAGTCGGTATACAACATCACAGCAAGCTGGTTGGTTGTCAGGTTTAAATTGGCCTTCTGTCAAATCCATAGCATCCTGTCCTTCTTCTACCTTCACTAGCTGAGTCACAGCCCTCGCCTGCTCTGGCCCTACGTCCATCTGTACTACCATGCTATGTGGAGATTTAGCTCCTGATATCACACCAGGAGGACTGGGCCTTCCTTTCAGCTCAACAGGACCTGCGCCATACAGCTCAGGATTAATTGTTGGTGTTACAGCACTGACCACAGCTGAGGCAGCGCTAGTCTGACTGACTAGCAAGTCTTTTTTCAATAAAGGTGAGATCTGTCCGGTAAGGCTGTACCTCGCCAAAGCAGATGCCGTTTGCTGCTGATGTTGCATCTGGTGATGCTGATGCAACTGCTGTTCAAGGATCTGTTGTTGCATCTGCAGCTTCTCCTGCTGTATTTGTAGCTCTTTCTGTTGGATACTGAGGTCTTCCAGTTTGGCATCAATTTTTGGTATTGCTGGGTCAGTTGGAGGGGACATTAGTGGTTTGTTCTGGGAAAGACACATAGCAGTACCCATGCCCTGACCAAGATCCACTTGGTTGTGATGTGGATCACCATAGACTGATGGCTGTTTTGGCTGGGTCATGAACATGGAGGCAGCCACAGTGACACTCACAGTTGTTGGAGTGATGATCTCCTGGGTGTTCAGGTTCATAATCATGGGCTGTACAATTGTTGAATGCCTGCTACCCTCTGATCCACCGTGATATTTTCTGCTTTCGGTGGCCAATGAAGTGAGATCCATTCCCTGGTCAGTCATGATAATAGGAGCTGGTTTTGTGGCTGTTCTGAGGTCCACAACACTCCCACCTTGGATCATATGACCCTGCTCTACCCTAGAAGTGCCTGGCACTGTAGATATTCGACAGAGGGAGATGTTGTCCATTGACATGGATCCTCTTTTGTAATGGCTGGCTGTGGTGACCATACTAGTTCCAACATTTACTTTTTCCACTCTTTGTGTTGTGCAGAAACTACGTGTGGGAGACTGGTGGTAAGGTGGCGTATCTGGAGGGCTGTTACATGGGGAGTAATTGTCAAATGTTGATTGGCGACTAAATCGGGTGGGCGAAGACAGGGGAGAAGTAGCAGTGTTGACTGTCATTGGCCTAGCTGGGCTTGGAGGTGGGGAGTATGGGGTATCCTGGGAAGACTGTTGGTGATAGAGCCGTGGGGACACTGATCGATTTGATGTTTGGGTTCCCTGAGCAGTCACTGGAGACGTAGGCTCAGCGCCAGCTGACTCAGACCTTCGTAATGCTGAACTGAAAGTCTGTGTTGAGAATTCAGCAGTGTTCCTTCTGGAAGGTGAATGGGTGGGACTCATTGTTGGGGGTGATGGAGAAAGAGGAGGACTGGTGCTCCTGTAATAAGTAGTATACTTGGGAGAACGTGGCTCAATGATTCTCTCAGTGGAAGATGTAGAGCTGTCTCGCACTTGGACATCCCTGGTATCCCCTACCCTTCTGGTGATCACTTCCCTTTGACTGTATGCCTGGGTAATCTCTGCAATCTTGCTGCATACACTTGAGACTGTAGTTGAAGATGTGGCAGGACTTGCCGTTTGTCGGCTACACATACTTGACTGAGTAGTCGTCATAGTGCAACTTGTACTGGTCTGAGAAATTGTTACTGCATCTCTGGCATAAACTCCATAAGCTGCAATAGTGGTGGCAGCCACTGCTGGAGTAATTCCATTCTTTCCTGCTTGGCTTTTAATCCTGTCTTTGTGCCCATCCTTGGCAGAGAAGTGCTGTGTTACTCGGACATCAGGAATTCGTCCTCCAGTCTCAGCAAAGGAGACAGGAGCTGACACCTGGGTGGGGCTTGTACCTGGAGTTAGCAGAGCATTGCTTTGCTCAAGAAGCTTAGCAAAGGCTGAGCCTGTGTCAAGGAGCTGCTTGTCCGGGTAGGAGCTCTCAATCTCGATCTCTACTTGCTCATCAGTGGCCTGCTGCATCTTGGTAATGTTTTGAGATGTTTGTCTGATCTCTTCATAAATATCTGTTTCTGTCTCTGCTGCCTCATTGTCATATGATTGATCTTGTTCATATTCATACTCCTCCTCATACCCTTGTTCATTAACATCCTCTTCATAGCACTGCCCATGTCTTGCTGGTTGTTGCTGTTGCTTCTGTTGTTTCTGAAGCATCTCTGCCTTCCTCATCATCTCCTCATAAACCTCCTCAGCACTCTTTAGTGGTTTGGAAGTACAAGATGGTGCTGTGGTGGTTGTTGTAGTTGATGATTTGTCTACTGGTGAGTAGAGAGACATAAAGGTAGGCAGGTTATATTCGCTGCCTGACTTGTAAAGTTTTGACTCGTACCCCTCAGCCTCTGAGTCCAGACTCTGAGGGGAATATTCTGAAGCAGATGAACGATGGAGCTCTTCCATTTCGGCCGCCTGTCTCAGTTCTTCGGTTGGAGAAGCATCTTCAATGGGTGAGAGATTGCTAGGTGGTGTCTTGGATCTCTCTCTGCGCCTCTGAGCCCTTAGCTCCTCCTTATCCCTCTTGGTCTTTCGTGCTGTGCTCCGTATCCTCTGTTGTTCCACCTCCCTCATCTTCTCCTGTTCTCTCAGAAGTTCTTCTTCCTCTCTCAGCTCATCCTCTTCTGAAGAGTCTTCAATGGTGGGAAGGAGTGGACCGTGGGAGCGGTGGCGCGCTTTCCTCTGCTGCTTGGCCTCTTCCAGCCTTTGCCTTCTGCTGGGGCTACTGTCACTGTCCTCTTCCATTGATGAAATCGAAGTAGGAGACTGGCCTGAGCCATATGAGGATGAGCTAGCTGGCACGGTGGAGGAGTAGTCGCCCCGAGAACGCTCTTCGGGAGATCCTGTCAGGCTTTCCATCTCAAGCTCTGGTTCCCGATCGAGGCTCAAGTCATTTTCATTGCCCAGCTCCATGTCCCGGCTGAAGCTGCTGGTGTTATTAAGTTCAATGGTTTTGAAGCGCCTCAAGCCTCCTTGTGCCATCAAATCATCTTCACCCTCCTCCATTGAGCCTTTATAGACATCAGAGGAGCTCTTTGTTTCCTCCTCAAAACTGCTAGAGTGGTGCTGAAGACGTCTTTTCTCCTTCCCTGAGTCAGAGACATGTTTAAGGTGGCTCTTTTTGGGTTTCTGGTAGCCATATCCTTCATCTTCCTCCTCATCTTCTTCCTCCATTTCTTCGTCCTCATTTTCTTCGTCAGCGCTCATCTCCATTATTTGTCTCCTCATGAACTCTTCATCTGTCATTTCTGTGGGCTCAGCCTCTTTTTCCTTGTTTTTCTTCTCTTTCTTCTCCTCCTTCACTTCCTTCCGTTTACCATCCCATTCTCCTCCGTCCTCTTCCTCCTCCATTATATCTTCCAACTCCTCGTCAGAGTCGTATGAATCTGGTGGGATTGACAGGGAGCGTGGGCGCTGCTTCCCTCTGTCATCCAAGTCTCTGTGCTTCCTCCCTCTTCTGTCCCCCTTGTCTTCAGACAGGCTCTTCTCCAGCAAAGGCCTCATGGAGCTCTCTAGCTTGGTGATTTCTGAAGGGCTCGGTGGGGAGCCTCGTCCAGTGATGCCCCTCTCGCTCAGCTTCATCTCCTCTTCTTGGATTAGACCTGTGATTTCACTGTGGGAGCTGGAGATGCCATCAGAGGAGTAGCCGGTGTCACTGAGGCTCTGAGGGCTGCGTGACAAGTCATGGGTGCTGTTGTTTTTTGTATCCTAAAGAGAGAACAAGAAAGAGAGAAGAATGTATTAGATTAGGGGAAGTTAGGGTTTCAAATTAAAGTCATAATTAATGCAGTGTAAGAATGTGTTGATTCTGGATAAACACGTTGCTATGTATACAATTTAAGCCCACATATATTTAGAATTAGATTGTTTAGATGAAAAAAGGAATGTTTTTTTATTTTAAATGTATCTATAATATAATGTAGGATTTGCTTGTCCAATATGTATACTCATTATTCATCACTTGCTTAAACAGTCGTGATAAAACCGCATTTCTTGAATTTTCATAAAAAGAGTACATTACATATATGTCATTGTACTACATTCTTGTTGTAGACATTAAGCAATGACCCGGAAAGTTCTCTTGAACTCAACACGTAAACATATAGTGATAAATAAAAAAACTGTTAACTTTTGTCAAAGCTCAATCAAATAGCTTTCCCAGAGGTTTAAGTACATTAATGTCAATCATCCATTATGTTTGGAACATGGGCTACAAAGTAATTAAGTGCTATATCTATGTATATATACATAATACATTTTAAACATTCATGAGAGTAGGGTTCTCTTCATTTGGTTAAAAAAGCTGAAGTCTAAAAAAAACCTTTATCGTGATTTGAAATTCTGCTGAGTCTTGAGCTTTAACATGTTGAATGGACAGCACCAAACATGTTTTAGTAACAACATCTGATTTAGTTTTCATGAAACCTAAAATCTCACAACAGATACAACATTATTATAACATTATCAGAGCTGAACTCATATGTGGGCCAAAATTGAATGTTTCAATGATATCGTATAAAAAGCTTTCTAAATAAAACAAAGCCGAAAGAAAGAATGACAGAAATTAATTAAAAGAGAACACATTGGAGAAAAGGCTTGCAGCTATTGGTCATAACCCTATGGATGTAAATTATACAGGAAATCAGTGGGGAAAATATGCACAGATTTGCTTTTCTATTTCTGAAGCTGAATATAAAAACATTGACATTTTATTTAGAATTAAAACATGTAATAAAAAAATAATATTATACAACATTAAACTAAATCAATACATTCAAGGCATGGTGAGATTTATTAAAAAAGCAAATATCCACCAATATAATATATGACATAATTTGAACATTACATTACATATTTCATTATACAGTTTCATAAAGTGGCTTACAGTTGTAAGGTTTGTTAACCATTTTTTGAGCCATTGATGGAAAGAGGAGAGTCGAATTGCGTTTTTAGTAGGAATTTTGTTTTTTGATCATGACGATTGAGAACTTGACTAGAACATATAACCAAAACTCGGCCATCAATGGCTCTGTCTCAGATGTCTGTTAATAACATGCCAAATCATAATTTCAATGTGACTAACCTCGTGAATGAAAGGGGGATGGAGGACAGAATGCGAAATAGATACAAAAATGAAGGAAATGTTTGCTAGAAAACCTCCAAACAATGACAATATATCAAAAGGAGACTTCACTTTGAGTTCTCCCCACTTTAAATTCCTAGCAGCTACCTTGATGAGGAAGGTCTGCTCTGCTTTTGAAAAGGCCCAAAGCAGCCAATCTTAATAAATATTTCAGGGAGTGCGAGAGCTGCCGCAGAGTAAGAAATCTACAATTATATCACTCCCTCTCTTTTGTTCTCTCACTCCCTCAGGTAGTCCATGCATGCTGCCACTTGCAGCATCAGCAAGTCTGTGAGCAGGGAATCAATGACCTGCTTTCCAAACAGCCATGGACGTCCAATCATAGGGTGTCTCATAACATACCATGACTACTGTATATGCTACTATATTTAACATTGGGTCTAAGCTGTGATCACAAAACAGAATTTAAATATAATTCACATGAAATATTAGAGTCATTTTTAACATAGCGACGATTACATAAGAAATTCAAGATAACAAAACAAGCTTTAAATAAAAAAGTATTTAAAGAGTCGACTGAGAGATTAGCCAACAATGCTACAAAAAACAAACAAACATGGGACCTAATATTTTCTTTTTACCAGAGAAAAGGTCATTCAAACAAACATGAAAGTGTGTTTCCAAATGGTTGTTACTAAACCAAAAACTATCCCATTTCATCGTGAACACATGAAGGCTCCCAGAATAAACCTTGATGCATCTCAGTAGATACTGTAGTCATGTACATTTGAAAAAAGTTGAATGAAACTGCAGATAAAACCAATAAACAAAGGTATAATGGCAAGAGCACAATGTGTTTGTGCTCTTGCCATTTGCATTTCGCCTTTGATTTAATTTCAGTCCCAAAATTACAACAGCATGCAGCAGCTGAGAACAATTTTCAGAATAGGTCTAAGATACTCATGAGAAACTAATGTCAGATTTGTGTAGAAAACATCAAAGAAGGCTTTTGAAGGCTTATCTATGAGCATTAGTCATCACAAATATGTAATATAAGCTATATTCAGAGTAGCATGAATGGCCTCAAGAAGCCACTGTCAAACATTGACTTACATCTGGAGTCTAAACACAGCATTCAAACCCTTGAGGGAAACGTTGGAGGATATCTAATGTGGCAATAGGCTGCCGGTCGCTGGCAGGATCCATGATGATGTCAAATCTTAACATCCATTTCTCACGTGTGACAACATACACTTCCCAAGTCCATTGGTCACATGGTCCATTTATTACATGCATCTTTCTAGGTCAGATTCTGCTGGGATGGCAATATTTGCCAGTGGGCTGTACTACCAAAGTCAACAAAGTGTTTAGTCTGCTGCTGAGTGTGTTTTACATTTAGGGGACCTGAAGTGGAAGTAAGAATGGGGACATGCAGTCTTACTCCATAGCTAGCTAGCTAGCTTCTTAGCTACATTCATGAAAATATAGCAACAGAAAAATGGCAACAAGCATGGATGACATGAAAACAGTTGTACAAGTTGTACGCCGACTTTCCTGGGGTCGTTTTATTAGCTTTTTAGAAAGCATGTTGAGATAGGGAAGCTAGGAGAGGGCATCTGCTCTTTGAACCCTAAAGGAAGCAGTCACGTTTGATCCTGCCGTTGACTAGCTGCCTGTACAACACCGGATCAGGGTTTACTGTGAGCTTCCTTAAAATACAATATTTCTGGTATGTACACACGATAAGTATACATTTAAACAAAGGTACATATGTGCAGAATAGTTTACGCAAGTATCAACTTGATTTAAGCCTTGTTAATATGGACTTTTCCCGTATCTTGTGAGGATTTTGAAGGTCAAATGTAGGCATAATCCTGTCTACTCCCTCCTGGCTGGTCTACCTGCATGTGCCATCCGACCTCTGCTAGAATCCACTTCAAGACACTGGTACTTGCGTACCATGCTGCGAATGGATCTGGCCCTTCCTACATCCAGGACATGGTTAAACTGTACACCCCAGCACGTGCACTCCGCTCTGCATCGGCCAAACGGCTCGCTGCACCCTCGCTGCGAAGGGGACCCAAGTTCCCATCAGCAAAAACACGTGGGTTTGCTATCCTGGCTCCAAGATGGTGGAATGAGCTCCCCATTGAAATCAGGACAAAAGATAGCTTACACACCTTCCGGCGCAAACTGAAAACTCATCTCTTTCGACTCCACTTCGAGCGATAGATTTATTAACAGAGCACTTATATACTAATAAAGGACTGGCTTATCTAAAGCCAGTTGAGTAGCACTTGAATTGTTTTGGCTCTATGAAACCTGATGTACTTATATGATTCTGTTTTCTTCAAGTTTGTGTCTTCTTGGTCGAACGCACTTATTGTAAGTCGCTTTGGATAAAAGCGTCAGCTAAATGCAATGTAATGTAATGTACTACACATATCTGCCGATGAACAAGAGCTTCCATTATGCTCATGAAGTATGATGGAAAAAACTATGAATGTGAAGCATTGCCACGCTGAAACAGCCAAGCATTCTCAACCTGCATACATGCTATAATAGCTAAAAAGCTCACGAAAAAGCAATCTTAGGTACATAATGTTTGTATGTTATACTATGATATTTCACTGATAATCAGCCTAATTCTTCTTCTATTTGGTTCACTTTCCACAAGCTATTCAACTGTTTGATTAGTCAACTTTTGTTAATTTTCCATAGCTTAACATACAGAGTTGTACACCAGGCTGAAGCAATGTAAAAAAATAAAAGGAATCAGACTTACATCATAGTGCCTGGACTTCTTCATTTCCTTGATCGGTGTGATGGGCTCTCCTTTCTTCTGGCAGGTTTTGGTGTCTTTGTCAGTTTGGTTCTCAGGCTCGGGTTTGGGCTTCTCCTCTGTGGGTTTCAGAGTTTTCTGGGTCTCTGTGGTTGACACAGGTGTCGTTGTCTTGGTGTCCGTTAGTTGTTTAGCCGCAGCTGGAGCAAACAGTCCGCTCACGCCACTTCCCGTCTGCGCTTTTTGCGTTTGCGGCTGGGCAGGCCTGGGCCCCTGCTGATTGGTGGCCTTGTGGAGAGGGCTTTGCTGATTGGCTGGCACCTGGTGACGGGGTGAACCCATTGGCAGGTGCTTGGGAGACAGGTGAGGAACAGGAAGGGGAGGTTCGTCCAGACCTCCTCCGGACAACAGCCGCTGGGTCTGGCAGTTGAGACATAACCACTCCTTTTTCTGGAAAACAGAGAGTAAAAAAAAAAACATGGCTAGTGACAACGAGCTTGTTGTATAACAATAGCACAAAAAAACACTTATTTCTATATCAATATATTATGTCCAACATTTCTAAGATTTTCCTTCAAGCTCATTGCTAATGCAAAAGTCCAAAGCATTACAACTAGTACAGGTGCTAAGGAACATTGGGCACTGTAAGGGAAACTTCTGTTGCAATGGAGAGTCAGGACTCAGAGAGACACGAGGAGAGTTGGAGCTTTGATGTCAAACACTGATGGTTTATTACAAGTCTCAGCCGGAGGATTCACATCACAAGTCACAGCAGCCAGAGGTTCTGACTGCACGGGTGGGTTGCCACATCAATTCTGCAGAGCCTCTCTCTCGATAGCCCTTTTAACTAGTTTACAGAGAGTTAATCAACATATTGGGGGAGATAACGTAAACATCTGGGAACACTGGAGATAGCCCCAACATCTGGAGACACTGAATCAAATGTCTGACCCTTAATGACCTCGAAGCCATCGTAACCATAAACCATTTGTGACCGAGAGTTGACCGGTCATAAACTGGGAATATCAACATAGCTGAGGCGTCCCATTCCTTAAGACAGATAACAGTAAAAGGCTACATTAAAGTCATATGTTCAATATGTATAACCGTTTCTCCTTCGTACTTCTCATCTTGAATGATGTGTTCTTCGTTAACTTCTCGTGTTAAAGACTCACCCACAGTATCTGATTGACAGGTGATCTCTGGAATGTCCAAACAGATCCACACAAGTTTGGCAAAATAGATAAATTCAGCAAATATTTTGTTTAAAAACATTTATGTATTGAACCAAATGTAATGCCTTGTTTTTTCATCTTAATAAGGGAATATTTAGGGTTTATAAACTGTATATTGGTCTCAAGTATACAGATTGTGTTTACATCTCTCTTTTATCCCCTCTCTACAGGATAGTAACTGATGCCGTTCTGCACTAAAGAGCATCCATATTACTTATGTAATGAATAACTGACAGATGCAGCCCTCCCTGATGAACACTTATCTCCTATCTCTGTTCTTTTCCACCCACTCATCAAATCTGCTCTACACAAAACCCACCAAACCTCTTTCTTACTCCCCCCCTCTCCTCTTCTTTTCGATCTCTGTATCTGTCTTTCTCTGAATCCCTTGCATAAGACAATTCCATAGCGACAACCCTGTCTACTAAAAATGACATTACCAAACAAATAAACTGGATTCTAAATTACATTTCGAGGGAAACAAATGTCCCCAGGTGTATGTCACAGTTTAAAGACACCGTTAACGTTGTAAATTGAAAGTAGAAACAAAAAATGCAACAAAATACCATGGTGATGTTAAAGGGTTAGGGGTTAGGCAACTAAACTACTTGGTCAGGTAAAGTAAACGATTACTGTACTTAAATCACAAGGTAAAAGATACTTTTTTAGAAATGCTTTTTCTAGTGTTATTAATGTTGTGTAATGAATATGTTAAGGTTTCTGTACAGCATCACTATATAGGCTTCATTTCAAGACTGTACATTTTAATAACCATTTTAGTCCTCCAACTGCCTTTTTTGTAGAGTCATCAGTAATGCGGTCTGTTTGTTTTAATAAGTCTTTGACAGAAATTTGTTAATGTTGAAAACTGCTATTAGTACAGTATGTAGACCAGGGGTGCCCAACCTTTTTTTAACCGAGAGCTACTTTTAAAGTTGCCAGTCTGCCGAGATCTACCAGGCCAAATAGAGAGGCGTAGCCATTACTGACAGCCTACTACCAGGTAAATACACACTTCTACTTGTATAAAACTGACCTTTGTACGATTAATACTTCATAAAATACTGCAGATCCTTTATCTTACCTCTTTCTAATCTACACACATACAAGTATTTAACTGAAGTTACACAACAGTGTTGTTGATACAGAGTTGGAGTTTATTCACGCGTCACATACTACAGTGGGTAATGTTTTCAAGAAACCTTGAACAGTGCTGCCACATATGACACAGGGAAAAAAGAAAATACTCTGAACCCTTTCTTTGCCATTATATAAAAATAGTGTTGCTACAAAAGTATAAATTAGGCTTACTAATAAGACAACTCAGATCTGAAGCTACACAGGAATCTGCTGCAACAGTGCAATAAAAAAGACAAAATTAATAGAATCAAACCTTTTTTGTTGCATTTTTAGTAAATTATAAAAAGAAATGCCTTTAAAATAGGATGCAAGCAACACTAGTTTCTTAACCTGAATTGATAATAGACTATATTTGCATTCTTATACAATTTTGTACAATAATTATAATGAATAAGTTCAAACAAACTAAAACTTACAGCTGATTAATAACGGTATCTAACTTGAGTTTTTATTATATCAAAAACCTGTTGAAATGCTACTGTTATTTGTACTGTCCCCCAAAAGCGCGTCGGCAGCCTCCAGGATGCCTTCGCCATCTTTGAAAGACTTCATGTGTTTCGCAAGAACGTGACTGACACGATAAGATGCTCTGGTAGCAGCCTTGCTCTTGTTGTTGGGCCTGGTGAAAATGCACTGCTGTGCATTTAGCTGTCCTTTCAGGCCCCTCCCCTTTTGGAGCATAGGGCAGAATTAGGAGAGAATTCCGTTTCGTAGCGTTTGTGCACTGTTTTGAAATGCCGCTCCTAAATTACCCTTCTTCGATAAAGCCACGCTCGCATTTCAGATGAGACAGATGGACTTTGAATTGGAATAAATACAAAAATAATCATCCTCCCACTCGGAGTGAAAATTATATATGTTTTGCTTCTGCCATAATTGCGGTCTTGTGTGTGTGCGGACTGTCACTCCTGTTGACAACGTTAGCGAATTAGTGCACTGCCCACTAGCCACGCCCCGACACATGGGGTCACGCCGGCCAATCACAAAGCTTTGATGCGTTCAAGTGCATTATTCTGGCACAGGAAGATTATGTTACAGGACATTAACGATAAAACAGAATATTGTTGTTCTATTTTTAGACACATCTCGCGATCGACTGGGAATCTCCCCGCGATCGACCGGTCGATCGCGATCGACTGGTTGGGCACCCCTGACGTAGACCAACAGAGACAATGATCTAATGTGCACTGCAACACAACCATCGCTTAGAAATATCACTTTATCATTGTTATTTTTATTAAATTACAAGTAGTAAACATCACAGTCACCCATGTATATAGTTGGTTTAAGATATTAGGTAAATAATGCATCTAAGTCTGTTGTGGTATTATCTTCAATGTTAAAGACACGAAATGAGACCGAGATTTCGGTATGATAGGACATAGACACAATGGTTGTGAAAATCCATAATGGATAAATGTTTACTTTAATACGTAGGACTGTTTCTTGCTACTCTTTTTGGAAACACTGCCAAACCCACAGCTTCCTTTGAACGTCTTTCTCCCGCCAAAATGACTACCATCAAAACATTTCAGAAATAACTGATGCAAGGCTCAAAACATTTGTGCAATCCGAACTGCAGACCAGACCACATTTTGAGTCTGCTCTGAGCATGACGGACATAAGGATTTAAAGAAAAGCGGAAGAAAGTGGGCCTCCCTTACATTACAGATTTAAGTGCAAACAGTTGCAACTACTTGAACTATCATACAATACTGTATGTGTGTACACTAAAGCAGTAGCATATGTGATTGGTGAATCATCTTTAGACCCTAAAGTGAATTCATGTCCTTCCTTTCCCAAGACTAGTGTATTCAGTCCTACAGATCACATCATGACACGTTTGTGTGTTTGTGTGTGTGTTGTCCCAAAGAGTAGCCCATCGCTGCACCACTTAACCTACATAGCACAAACATCTGGCCTTTTCTCCTCCTGTCAATAATGTTCACTAAAAAGCTCCATCAGTCCTAATTCTGCTTTCAGATGTATTCTCTCTCTTTATGTCGCACTCTCTTTCTAAGTTATCTTTCAAAATCTGTTCAATCTGTCTCTTTTCAAAAAAATGTCCACCCCCCTTCTATATTTATTTGTTATCTCGTGTTCCTTATTGCTCTTATTCAGTACTGTTTGTTGTGCTTTTTTGTCCTCCATCTCAATTGCACATTATATTTCTTCCACCACTGGATTTAATTTATGACAATTCTGCGTAAATAACTCACCACTGTGTTCAGTCCGCATTTTACCCCTTGGCCAAAGAAAGGCATTGGAATGAACCATTAATGAAGGAGACATATTTGTTGTATTTGTCCCTGAGGACATCTTTGTGGTATTGGATTGTTTTGCCTCTTTGTCTCTTGTTATTTCTCGTGATATACTTCTTCTACTAATATACAGTATGTGTGTAAAGATGGGTCGGAAAATGCAAACGCTTTGGGTAAAAATGGATTACTCCAGAAGAAGGTGCTTCCCCAACTTTTCGTAGTTAGTCAGTAAAACAAAAAACATGGTCACAAAATATAAGGGAAAGTAGTAAAAAGAAGTCGGAGTTATTTCAACTCAGTTCACTTGTAAATAAGGCTGGGTATCAGTACTCGATACCTTAAAGCGAAACAATTCAGTGTCTATTCGTACCACACCACTCTAGTCAATCAATACCTGCATTTAATCCTTTTTGAACCCAGGGTTATGAAAGGATATGTCATTTTTAAATGTCTTAGCTCGAAGCCAATTAATGCATGGATTTATTGCTATAACACTCACATATGGTCATTAAGGCTGGGTCACCGTTAGAACAAGATCGCGGATACAAGCAGCCGAAATGGGTTTTCTCCAGAGGTTGGCTGGCATCTCCCCTAGGTATAAGGTTCCCTACGGTAGAGAGCTGCTGCTCCTTTATGTATAAAGGAGCCAGTTAAGGTGGTTCGGGCACTTGGTAATGATGCCAACTGGCCGCCTCCCTAGGTCGTTGTTCCAGGCACATCAAGCTGGGAGGAGACTGAGGGGCAGACCCAGGACCAGGTGGAGGGATTATATATACAAGATGGCCTGGTAGCACCTTGTAACCCCCTGTTAGAG